TGTAGAGCAATATTATGTAAATCCCCCAACGGGGTACGTTTGAAACGTTTCTGTTTACACGGAAATATACCCACAAAAATCAGCGCGCTATAAAATGTGTAACTAAATACTAAATTTAAATGATAAAGAGAGGCTCGAAATGCAAGAAATCGATGTAATTTCAAAGTAGAAATTTTAAACTCTGTTGAAGTTATGAATAATAATGGTACATTGGAAACTAGAATATTCAACATAAGTGTTGCCAAGATGTTGTTTTTATGAAATTTAAGTGAAAAAATAAACTGTAACAATTAATTTACCACGTTTAAAATAAAAATAGCACCTAAAAGTCGCTCTTTATACATACTGTACACTGCAATCAAATAAAGTAACAGCTCTTTTATAGAGAAAAAAAAACATATTTTAAAATGCCGGTAAAATCCGTCGTACTTGAAAATAGCTGGTAATAGTTATCGTTATTTACCAAGACATAAAAAGTTCAGCTATTTAAAAACATTTACACGAGAATTCGAAAATGAAAATAGAACAGACGAATAATTTTTGCAACGGTTTTTATTTGTCTACACAATTTTGAAAAAAAAAACAAACAAGGAGTTACACGAAAGCCTGAAAATTTGTCAACGCTTCAGAGAAGACAACAAAAAGTAAATATGGACTAAAATTAAACAGAATCAAATTAATGAAATTAATCATAAAATAAATTAGTATGATTAAATTATTCATTGTTGGATGTTTGCAGTATACATAAAAGGAAACTTTAAAAATTTTGTAAAAAAAAATGATCTAACCTTGCAAGATGTAGTGAAAGTCAAATCCAAGACCAACATCTAATTTGTCCCTGCAACAAATAAGAAATTTATTATATTGTTAAACTTCACCTTACCAATAAAAAATGAAAACTCAATGTTTATAACTAACTTTAGAAAAGTAATACTGTTAGTCCAGGCTGTATCGTCGCTTCCGCTAGAAACATGATTCTCATTCAATTTTTTTTCATAATCTTACTAAAAAAATGACCCTTGAAACATATCCGCATGTTGCCAAACGTTACTAAGTGTCGAAAATTGTTTAAACGATTTTTTTAAACAAATTCGTAATTTTCGATTTTTTCGCTCGAAATAATTTTTTTATGCTTTTTGGGATATCCTAAACAAACAAGTTCCTATGCAACTTTTCTCTAAAATCTATCATTTTCGAGATATTAACGATTTTTTTGTTCGAAAAAACGCGATTTTAACCATTTTCAACGTCAATAAACTATATCAAAAATTGCAATTTTTAGTGTTGCCAATATTCTTAATTAATCTTTGACATCCCTTAACAAAAATATAGAAGTTACGCCGGCATATTTTATTCTAAAGCATCAGCAAAAAGAAAACAGAGCACAGAAAGCAACGCTCAATGTCGTATACAGGGTCGGAAAGTCCCCATGGTTCATCGGTCGTTACGTGAGAGCGATAAACTAAGTCATTGAAATCCGTGCGATAGAGAAGGATGGATATAATGAAGGCGTCTCATAGTCACCGCCCGTTTCGCCCTTCCACAAATAAGATCCACTTCCACTTGTAATTCAGCGACCGGTAGTCATCATTGTTTTCGTCGTTTGGCTTTTCTACTACTTATACAATTTCGACTTCGGTATTCCGATATGTTAATACCATCCGTTAACAAAGGGCAGCACAACGCGTAACAAAGAAAACTTTTTACAGTAGCTAGTAGATACCTCTGTTTGTAAATCTAGTGACCTTGTTTCCCCTACTGAGAAGTTATTCAAATGGAGTATAGTGCTCAGCTGCATTTAAAGTTCATTTAGTTGTTATTTAAGTATACTTTTTAAAATGACTTAAAAGACCCAAGGAATAAAGCAAAATTCCCTATTTCCCCAATTCCAAAAAAATCTATAGATCTGGCATCACTCTTTCTAGGGCTGCCCTCTGTTAACGGATTGTATTAACATATCGGAATACGAAGTCGGAATTGTATAAGTAGTGACATCTATTACAGAAAAGGCAAACGACGAAAACAAAGATGACCACCGGTCGCTGAATTACAAGTGGAAGTGGATCTTATTTCTGGAAGGGCGAAACGGGCGGTGACTATGAGACGCCTTCATTATAGCCATCCTTCTCTATCGCATGGATTTCTATGACTACTTTATCGCTCTCACGTAACGGCCGATGAACCATGGGGACTTTCCGACCCTGTATAAACAGTGAAATTTAAGTGGGCCACGGTCTGAACCCTGTGGTACACCTGACGAAATAGCTGCAAAGGAAGATGAACAATTATTAATTTTAACACACCGTGATCTCTTATGGGGCCATATAAAATGTTTATAAAATTATATTATTTAAAAAAATCTTGGAATATATCATCTCGGACAATTTACCATGAACTGAAAGTATAGAAATAGGACAGTAACTGTCTAGCATGTTGTTAGTAGTTTATTTAAAAACTGTTACAATATGAGATTGTGAAAAATTGTACTTCGTCGGTAACACGCTTGATTTAGAGTTTCCTGGGACGGTAGGTTTTACGGATTTAATAAAGTTCTCGTCGACGACGGGCAGGTTCGTTTAATTATTCCCCCATCGATCTGCTATCCTCATAATTTATTTCAGATGACTGAAAGTTAGTTAGAGGCAGGCTAGCATGACTAACTATCGGCAAACCGACTCCTGCCCAGGGCTGTAAATTCTCCTTTAAATTTTGATTTGTATGCAGGATTGCCCTGTCGAATTTTAACAAGGAATTACTACTTCCTGCGAAATCGGCGAGATCGATACTAGCGAAGATTTCAGGAGGAACGTGTCGAAATCATAGAATGTATCTACAGAGTGTTGGTGTGCCTTTGCCACATTTAAATGTTACACTTAAGGCGCATCTATAGATGTAGGTCAACGCGACCGTTTTCGGTTGCCAGACCTGCGCATCGCGAGGCGAATATAGTCCAGTCGAATTAGATCGTAAACCCTGAAAAATTAAAAAAAAATATTAGTAGACATTTTATTGCACTTTATGACGGGGAAGGGTACGTAGAATGATAATATCAAAAAAAATAACTCGAAAGAAGTGACGATAATATGACAAAATTATTTTCAAAAAATTTTATATTGATAGTCATGTAATCGATGCGTTAATAAAAATTCAACAATTGACGTTATAAAGAAATCTATCATGGGAACAAAGGGGCGAATAAGCTCTATTTAATGCAAAAAGAGCGAATTCCCGAGCGGATTTTACCTAACCCTGGGACAATTTGTTTATTTGTTTTGCACGTCACTTCTCCCGAGTTAGTTTTTGATATTATAATTCTACACATCCTTCACCGTCATAAAGTGTAATAAAATGTCTACTGTTAATTTTTTTACGTTCAAACTCTAATTCGACTGGGCTAATAAGTGAAGTACTAGATGCAAAGTTCATGAATATTTTGAATGAGTGTTCAAACTCATCTTTATATTTTTTATGAATACAAATTTTTCTAATACTACCTTGAGCCCTATTCTTCAATAATTTACCTACATGAGTTATTTCCAGGTTTCTATTCCACATAGTTAGGATGTGTATTTTTTAATAAGACGTCATATACAGTGTGGACAGGACCAGGACATCCCTGTTAAATTAGACGTACTTGCTTGAAGAACTACGATGGCTTATCCATTAAGATTATCCTTAAGATTATCCATGGCCCTGCAGTTTTATAATTAAGAATCTGGCTACGAAACCTTAGTAAATATCAATATCTCAAATTTCGTCAACTTTTTAAGTTTTTATTTCAGATTAAAAATCTAGAAGGCTGTGAAAATGTCGAAAGATAAAAACTTAGTCGATTACTGACACTGATGATTAACATTGGCAAATAATGGAGTGCATATACAGGGTGGGAAAGTAAAATAACTTCCTTGTTACTCATAATACAGAAAAAAGTTTATGTAAAAGTTGTACAGAATCAAGACTTAAGCTACAAAATTAATTTCAAACATACAGGGCGATGAGTAAAAACGGGACACGCTAAATATTACATTTTTTAAATGGAACACCCTGCATATTTTTAAACATATGGATTTCCGAGAAAATTCTATATATGTCAATATAAACAGTTTATCATTTTAGTGTGGGGTTGCCAAGTTATATAGAAAATTCTTCCAATTTTAGAAAAAACATGACGTCGAAGAAATTGTATTAACTTTTAGCCATTAACACTTGGAATGAAATAATTAGACAGAGCTATAGGCAAATGTTAGACAAAGGCTCCTATATTAGCTAATATCGATATTTTATAGAAAGCATTTTTTATAATACGATCATTTTTAGAAAGTTTAAACTTGATTTTCTAAAATTTTTCAAATGGAACGCCCTGTATTTTATTGTTCTATTGTATTTACGTGTGGGCCCACTTCAACTTTTATTAAGCATGTTCTATATCTAAAATTGTTAGTTTTGAGGAAAAAAATTCATTGCACACTGCTATTATTTTAATTTATTTTAATCCATAGAATCACCTCCCGGAGTTTCCTGACGGAGTTTCAGAACACCCTGTATAGTTCTAAAATTGCGAAAACATTAGCTCCTGGATAAAATTATGAAAATGATTAGTATGTAAACTATTTATCAATCGTAATTAGCATTAACGTGTCTAAAAAAAATTTTATGGAGGTGTTTTGGTCTTAGTCGGCCACACTGTATACGAAAAATGATAAAACTTAATCTAAAAACTTCGGTTTAGTAAGGCTAGGCTCCTTCTTGAACATAATATAAAGCTAGGTTAGGTCAAGTTAAGTTTATTTGAGTAATATACATATAAAAAAACAACTTCCAGCACATTAAACTTAGTCAAATTTAATATTTTCCTAAATATAATATTTTGTTAAAACTATTTGATATTTGGTCTAATGTCTTTCATTAAGAAAACACGCTACTACTGTATTTAAAGATTTTCCCCAATTACTATCACAATTCGGTCAATTTCATATACCTATATTTTTTTTTGCTTTCAGGAGAGCGACACCGGCGCAGCCGCCACAACAACCGCCCCAACCCCCGGAACCGGTCCAGCCGGTTCCCCCGCAACAACCTCCCTCGCAGCGCTCCACCACCCCCGTCGCGCCCGTCCTCGACCAGCCGGAACCCCTGCAGAAACCCGAGAGCGGCGACCATGCACCGGAGAACCCAGCGAAGCAGCCCATACAGCCGACGCCGCCGCCCCCCACGAGGCCGCCGCAGGTCCAGAGGGCCATATCCATGCCCGTGGCCCCCCACGCCCAGGAGAGGACCAGGCCGACGCCGCAGAAACCCGTCGGATATTCCCAGAGCGAGCGGCTGCCCAACAGGCCGCCCCTCAACAGGTCGATGAGCAGGAAGGAGATCATCAAGAACTACATCAAGAAGGAGACGGCCACCTTCTTCGGGGTGGACGAGGAGAGCGAGAACGAGCAGCAGCTCAGGTGGCTGGACAGGCGGAAAAGGATGGCGTCCAGGTGAGTACCCAGGTTGTGAATTTGTCATATGACCTACTGACAAGACGTATACAAAAAAAAAACAGTTATACATATAAAATACAGAGTTTAGAAAGACTACGAGCGATATTAAAGAAATCATTAATATACGTCTAAGTAAAGAAAGGTCCAAGAATAGATCCTTGAGGAACACCTATCTAACTGAATTGAAATTTGAAAAATTATAATACCTAACTCAAAAGTAACTTTAGTTTAAAAAAAAAACAATTTGTAATCGACATTGAAGGTCTGATAGAATCACTTAAGATATAAAATTAGTTGAAGAAATTGTAGAACAGAGATGACGTTGTGTGACATAAAAGCAAGAGAACATACATTAAAAAAGAAGACGAATATCGCAAAAATCATTAGTATATGTCATAGTAAGGAATGGCCAAAGGACCAGTTCTTGAGGAACATCTTTCTAAGTAATCTGAAATGTTAAAGAATATATAGTACCAACTCAAAAGTAGCTTTAGTTTAAAAAAAAAAGTTATAATAATTGACATAATAAAAAATCATTATAAAATAAAAGAACGATATAATCCAGTTTTTAAGATGATATATAAAAAAATATGAACATACTTAAAAGTAGATAAAATTGTCGATTAAATAAGACTAAATTAAATAAGAATAAGTTAAATGATGTGAAAACGTGAAAAATGAATGAAGAAGACAAGCACTATTACAAAATTCATTAATATATGTCACAGTAAGAAATAGCCCAAGAATTAGTCTTTGGGGAACATAGTTCTAAGTTGAATTTTTAATTGTTTAAAAAACATAGTATCCAACTCGACAGTACTCTTAATTATTTTTAATAAGTTGTAATTGACACAATAAGGTATCGATAAGGAATAAAATAAGGAGCTGGTTTTAAGATATGACAAAAAATATAAACATACTAGAAAGTTATGAACTTGTTGAACAAATAAGGTGTTACATGACATGAAATCGTAAAAATGGATTTCTAGGCGAGACAAACAGTATTAAGTCATTAGAATTAGTCAGAGTAAGAAATGGCCCAAGGACCAATCCTTGGGGAACATCTTTCTGCCTAAATTGCAATTTGAAAAGATTAATGAAAAAATTTAGTACTCAACATGAAAGTAGCCATGCTTTGTTAAAATAGTTGATGATTGACCCAATAGAGGCTGTTACAAATTTCTTCTCACTACAGGAATCTCGGAAACGGTAAGAGATACGAAGTAGCTTAAATGTGGGCAAAGTTGCATAATAAGGGGACCAACATTATGCCTCTAAAAAATCAAGGCTAACATGATTAGTTTTCGAAATATTTGAAAAGAACCGAAATTTTGGAAACCCGTTCTTGTTTCATTTCAGCCTTGTTTGAGGTGATACTGAAAAAGAACACTTAATCAATTTTTATACGTAACGTTTCGTCTCTCCAAGGCCGTCATCAACTTCATTTTTTTAAAATACGACCCTGGAAATTTTATTACATTTTTTGTAACCCTTCATGACTCAATACTGTACTGTCTCAGCTCGAACCAGAATCAGACGTTTTGTCTCTAAAAAATCATTTTCAGTGTATTCGTTACAAATTTATCTAACACTACACTCTAAGTGCCATGCCGTTAGACCCTGTGAAATCCACCTAGTTATTTAAACTATTACCATCACACGTTACACTAAAACATTATTATAGTTTTAACTCCGTGCTCATAGTTATTTCTAGGTTTCTCGAGTGCTCAAAATTCAAACAAATTTCGATCTAATTTTTTTCAGGAAAATACATATACAAAATACATCTGACATGCTTTTCCACAGTTGCAGTTACAGGTATAATAAATTCCAATCATATTATGCTTATCTTTATTTTCAACATTTGCCAAAACGGAAATATTTTTGAACATTTACTGTAATTTTTTAAAGTATAATAATATTCATTTGGAGTTTTGATTTGTTCATATGCATTTTTTAAAATTAATTTGTTATAATGAAATTAAAATTGTAATGTTTTAATTTTGACGCAACCAGGTGATGGAGATTAAAACTTTAATAATGTTTTTTTGTGGAACATGTGATAGTAATATGAAGTTTAAATAACTAGGTGTATTTCACAGGGTCTAACGACACTTAGAGTGTACGATAATTCAATAAACATAAAAATCTAAATAAAAAATTTAGATAAATTTGGAAAGAATACATTGAAGATGATATTTTCGAAACAAAACGTCTGAATCTGGTTCGGGCTAAGACAGGGTCATGAAGGCTTGCAAAAAATGTAATAAAATTTCCAGGGTCGTATTTAAAAAAATGAAGTCGATGATGGTCCTGGAGAGACGAAACGTTACATATAAAAATTGATTATGCCATTCGATAGAGGGCAAAAAGTTGCCATGAGAGTGTGTTCTTCTTTTTTCAATATCACCTCAAACAAGGCTAAAATGAAACAAAAACGGATTTCCAAAATTTCGGTTTTTCCAAATATTTCGAAAACTAATCGTGTTAGGCTCGATTTTTTAGAGGCATAATGTGGGTCCCCTGATTACGCAACTTTGCCCCCATTTCGTATCTTTATCCTTTCCGAGATCCCCGTAGTGAGAAGCGAATTTGTAACAGCCTGTATATGCGTCCAAAGTACATTTATTATTGTTCATATTTAAACAGGAATGATTAAAAAATTTCTGAAAAAAGGTGAAATATGTAAGCTGCTTGAAAAGATCTGTAAGGGGCTTTTCCAGAATAGTATAAAAACGGTTACTTTCTATTTTAAGAAATCTAAAACATTTGCGTGTCTAAAAAAATTGTCTATATTACAGAAATCATTTTAAATACATGAATTATATGTATATTCAAACATTGAATTACATGATCCATTAGAGTTATTGCTTTTATTGTATTTGATGTCAATGAAATAAAAACGCTTAGTGGAACTAAAGCGAAATAAGTCAAAACGATTTAATTGTAGCTAGTCCGAATTAACGTAGGTGTAATATTACCGCACAATTATCTGTAACTATGAAATATGTATACCAAAATGCCCATAATCAAAATAATCTATTTACATTTATCTTTAATCGGTGTGGTAGAACCGGACAAGCATTGAAATAATCATAAACTCTGAACTTTATCACGACAAATAATAAATAATACCCGTATCCTCTTGTAGATTGCCAGACAAAATAAATTCCACAACTTTCAAATTGGCTGGAAATATCACAAAGTTTTAAAATATCAAGTGGCTCGTAAGTCCTTATTGCAAAACGTAAAAATTTTATTGGCCCCTGTAAAACTGGGATTGTTGCGGTGGAAAGTGGCATCAGTTTTATGTACCTGCATTTTTCCACGACGAATAAGTGTTTATACAGGATGTCTCAATATTCCGTGAAAATTTTTTTTTTTCAAATAACTGAAACGCTTTGTAAGATTTTATTGGAATTTGGTACACTTGTAGGTACTTCCAAGTAGATGTCATTTTATGACATAGTAAACGACATAATTGAATCAACAGAACTGTGAAGAATTCTCCCTCCCTGGAACTACGGCTTCTATTTTTTTTTAACTTAAAGATGAAGGGTTAATGTTTCCCTCTTGTAAAATACAAAATTATTTGTAATAGTTTTGTTATCTTTGTTAAATCATTACTAATGCATTTTCGATTCAAATTTGAAATAATTATATCATCAATAATTGATTTATATCTATACCGTTTTCTATAATCCTTCATTCTGCAAATTGTGACCAGCATCTTTATGTTTTAAGGTCCTTTCAAATAAAAAAAATCACAGGGACTTAAGTCAGATTAACATGGCGGCCAGTGGATTGGAGTAGACCCTGCCTATCCAGCTGCTTGGGTACTGATCGTTTAAACTTTCTCTTGCATTTCCCTTAACTGGTAGATCGTCAAACAATATCGGCAGAGTATTTTGCAGAAAATCTAAATAACTGTCACCATCGAGGCAATTTAGCAATCTAATAGGACCCAGCAGAAAGTTACTGATAGAACCAATCCACACATTTATATTAAGTTCTCGCTGAAAATGTCTTTCCGTAATATCATGGGGATTTTCATCTGTGTAAACATGCTGGTTATGGAGATTTATTATCCCACGTTCTGTAAAACACGATTCGTTCGTGGTGAAAAGAATTCTCTTGTAGAGGTTCATATCTCCAGCTGTGTATTGGCGAATAATCTGCGAGAATTGAAGACGAACAGCAGGATCAAGATATAGAAGTTGTTGAACTGGGTAAATATGAAAAAGATGAATTCATTCTTCGAGGATTACTCTGTGCACTATACTTTTGGAAACTATACTCTGCCTCTGTAATCTGACACTAGTTGCTGGGTTCTATTCCTCTATTTCCCGAATTTCTCCTTCCATAATATGTGTTCGAGCTGGACGAACTATCCAGTTTTTCAAAGACGTCTTTTATATTTTAGAAAATTTGATGATTTGCCATTGGACGATTCGAATATTTTTCATGATGTATTGGCCACCACATTCATTTGACTTAAAACCCTGGGATTCTTTTATTTAGGGGGCCTTAGAACAGAAAGTGTACTATGTGAGTATCTTCTTTCTTCTGTGAGTAGTGATAGTGTTGGTAAAATAATCCAACGGTTGCTAAAACACGCAGATCGATTACCTACAAAAATACCCATAAAAATACGTACATAGGTACTTAAAATATGCTGATACTCGACAGAAATTAGCAATTTACAATGATGCAAACTCGAAATGTATCCGTACAAAGAAAGTATTGTATAAAACGTGCATAACTTGCGGTGACTCTGTGGTTTTTATGAATAAATCATAAAGTTGGTGCGTTGTCAAATGCTGTTTATACGATTTAAAAACCGAAAATGAGTTAAAAAGCAATGAATGTTAAACAGTTAATTTGTCTCTTTACGTGTTTAGTCTTCCCTGCGATTTTAAAATATAGGTTTTTAATGACACGTCATACGCCACGTTAATATTAATCATTTATATACAAGCAAACAACTTGCAGATGTTTTAAATTACGCCATTACATCGTGCTTAATTTCTTTCATTATTTTTACTTAATTGGCATAATACAGTGACACATTTCAGTTTAAAACTAGTAAAATGGTAGATATGTTGAAAGAAAACATTTTCTGCGCAATGAAGTGCACGTACCGTAAAAATTTTATATGCGGATTGCTATGAGAATAAAATAAATATTCCAAATGAACTAAATTAATAAATGCGGTATAAAATCAAGATGTACACCATCTAACACATTTTGTGTTGCAAATATTAAAACAGATATGCTAAAGTATTTTTATACACATTTACATGTCGTACCGCCTCTTTCTCCTCGACTTTTTTGCAGATCAAATAAATTTGCCGTGAAATTGGTACGTCTAAAATATCGACTAAACTCCAAATACGACAAAAAATAAATTGAAAATGGCCTGAGTCAGTTCCACTTGAATTACATCTAAAGTATATTTCGTATGAACATTAGTCTTTGGTCTTGTATCGCGACATAGAAAATTCAGTAACTTTATGAAAGTGTATAAAAAAAAAAGTTGTTTTCCAAATCTACATTTTCCTACCGAACGAGTCAGTCTTAAAATTGCGATAAATTTTTTTAACACTCCCTTTGCTGTAGCAAGCTTATTGTATTTTGGACTTAATATTCACGTTGAGAATAGAATTACTTTCTAAAAAAAAACTAATATATATTACCGAAAATATAGTGAAAATTGACAATCTTCATGTAATGGGTATGGAAAAAACAAGATACATTGCTTTATAGAATACAATTTGTTTTTTTTTATCGGTATGGTAACAAAAACAGTGTAATTCACTGTATATAAATTGAAGCCGTCAAACTTTGAGTAAGGATGAACGGGATAAAAATCTGTTGCAAACGGTTAACTGAATCTCTTATTCTCTTGCCCTGATGGATTATAATTTTTTTGTTTTGTAAGTCGAACTATTCTATTTTCAGAGTATTCTATTTAAAACCTCAGCCTGATATCTTGCAAACCAAAAGAGATATCCGAGTTGTATTAAAAGTCCTATATACTGCTGGAAACAACTACTCTGCAAACTAATGCCCTGAATCAGTATTGAATTATAACGCAATACTGGTCGGAGTAGTTGTTTCCCACATTGTCATCAGTTTCGGTTTTGCTTTCAATGTTTAATCATAGAAATATAACAATTTTTTAAAAATAACTGTATTATAACTTCTTCAAGATTTATTTATAGGCGCTTTGAAACATTTTTCATTTAAATTCGACCAATTAAAATAGCAATTTTTTTCTTTAGCTTCCTATTTGCTGGAAAATGCCAATAGGTACAAATAGACCAATAAAATAACCTGCAGACTCTACAGACTTAACATTACTTGATTTTTTTCTACTTAGAAGTTCAACTTAATAAAGAAATTGAGAACTCTACCAAAATGGATTTAATTTTGAAGATTTACTGTGACTTTTTATTTTTGTTAGTATTTAATTTTCATGAAATATGTGAGTTGTCAAATAAGTGATTTAAAATAACTACATACTATGTACAGATATCATTTAATTCACGATTTTTTCAAACAATCAGTATTAGAAGAAGTATTTGTTGGCCGTCTTCTGGTCAACTTATTTTTTCAGAAACAAAAATATGCTAAAATGACTTTTTAATCATAAAATATCGTTTTCCAAAATGCAAAAATTATAGTTTAATCTTTTTTTATTGTTAAGACGATGTGGGGACAACTCTTACTTCCTAAAAGCTTCAAAAGGATTTTGGCTGTTTAAACGTTATAATTAAAGATAAAATCAGCTATTATACTTTTCATTTTAATATTTCTTTGTAGAGGACACCCTGTATGCTTTGTTTGACCCACTTAAATTTTTTATACATTTGAACACAAACAGAATTTTTTAACAAAAATTACTTTTCTTCGTGAAATTATTCTCTATCCGTTTTTCAATTTCATCCGGGGACACCCTGTATATATTTTTTTACTTCAGGACGATGGGACCCCTCAAGGAGGAATACAGGACCCTGAGCGGCCGATCCCATCGCAGGACGGCCTCCGAAATGACCTCGAGCCCGATGTCCGGCCAGCTGACGACGGAGAGGCCTGACGTGCTTCCGGGACCCAGCGACGTCGCCGACGGCGCCCAGGAGCAGTACGGCGGCGTGTCCATCAGGAGGAAGGACTCAGTGGCGAGGATGACCTGGGACGGATTGTCCTACGTCGTCACGGTAAGTTCGACATGATATTTTCCGAGTAAAGCGGTCCGCACACGTCCGAGTAAGTCTCGGATTAGGAAACGGTACAAAATTAAATTAAAATACGATTAAATAAAAAAATTACCAAAATAAATTGGAAATATATGCAATAATGTACACTAATTTGCTGTTAAGTGAAAAACGTTTTAAAGAATGCTCTGCGCAGCTACATACACGATGTCCCAAAAAGACCCGAACCCCCCGATAACTCTTCAAGGTGAAATCCTATCAAAAAAGTTGTAGGATTTCAAAAAACCAATTTAGCGATGACCTTGTCTTTGACCTTGACCCTAATTTTTAAGGTCAAATCAAGGTCAACTTAAAAAATTTCAAATAGAAACCCCTATTTTTTCTTGGGTATCCTTAAAGGTCTTTTCAAGGTCTAATTTTCATGAGCAAGCCAAAAAAGAATGAGAGAGCCAAATAATTGAAATGTATTACGTGACCGTATTCTTCGTGAAGCTAGATCAAAACATTATTAGAAATGCTGTGACTAATTTTTAATAACAGATTTTTTCAATTATTGTTTATTATTTTTTTTGTTTTTAACTTTTTGTTATTTCTCTTCATCATCATTATTATTATGATTCTTAATCGACCTTTTATTGGACGTTAAATTTGATGCTTCATTGATGTTGACATTAAAAATACATGTTTCAAAATTTTCAATTTGACTTTGATTTGACCAAGAACGTAAGGTCAAGGGCAAATAAAAGGTAACCAATAAATTTGTCATTAAACATACTACTTGCAACATTTTTCTCTACAGTTAAAATCCCATCGAGTTATTAAGAAAAAACAAATTCGACCTTGAATTGTCCTTCAAGGATATCCAAGAAAAAATTTTGGATGCCATCCACGCAAAATTTTACGCTTTATCGATTTATAAAATAAAAAATCGGGGTTTCTATTTGAAATATTTAAGTTGATCTTGATTTGACCTAAATAATTTGAGTCAAGGTCAAACACAAGGTCACCCCTAAACTGTTTTTTTGGAAATCCTACAAAAAGAAAATTCAATGTGTCACAGACTAGACTACGATACCCATACGTTTTTAGGGCCTCTAAATCCGAATCCGTTGTCTATTCGACGAAGCTCACGTTCAAGGTTATTTGAAGGTCCATTTTTTTTATGGTAATACAATTTCTGTTCCCGGATTTAAATGGATGAAAGAGCGAGAAATTGTACGATCGCAACGTTGGATTTATTTTTAAATGTTATGTTCAAGGTTATTTGAATGTCAACTCATGTTTTTCGATGTTTCATGTAGAAAAGGCGATTTTTTTTCTACAACCTAATATATCTCGAAAACTATCGATACCTACAAAATAAAATTTAAGTTTACGTCAAATATACTTGGACAGAAAAGTTAACGCAGTGGCATTTATAATAAAAACCATGTAGAAATTCAGCAGTGCAACCAGCAGCCATAATTTCCCACTGCGTGGCCACACCCTTTACATGTCCGCATGCATTTTTTAAACCATAATGATACATCGAAATATATTAATTACTTTAAATGAATGTAATTTGTAAACGGTCGGTATGGATGTCGTGACTCATGGAAATGTGTGTCATCGGAGGTGAAATATCTATTAGGGTCCGCATTTTCCTTGAAAACGGATGAAACTGAAACTACGCTGCCCACAGGACCACTTCACTTCATTTTTAAATGTAGCAATTAATAGCCAACGTAATTGTCCTGTGTTTACCTTCAAGGTAAAGAAACGGTCAATTTATTTTTAGAAAGCGTCATTTCCATTTTACGGAGTTGCCCAACAGCACAAATCATTTACAGGACAAGCACAAAGATGAAAAACAACAAAAATTATGTAGGTATAAAAAAGTAAAAATAATAAAATCAAGAAGAAACTGATTAAAAATGAATAATTAACTCAAATCAAACAAAAGGAAATACAGAATGTAACGAGCGTTCAAATAAAAACGTGGTCAAGTTGGTTCTGAAAATTTGGACGTAGGGCGTAGCGTATAGCAAATGAACTTAAACGTCATCTGTCAAAGCGCTATATCGCCGCTATCAATTTTAAAAAGCGTTTAAAATGGTGTTTTCTCAAGAACAAAAAGTGTTTATCATAGAGTCCTACTTTAGAAATGGACGCAAGATTGATGGAATATGGAAGTATTCTATTGAGGAATGTTTCATTGAATTTCAAAATCAATTTCCCGGCGTTGTTGAGTACAAAATTTTTCAAAGTGCAGTTCAGCGTTGTGTTAATGTTTTTCGTGAAACGGGCAGTGTAACAAGAAAAGAAGGAAGCGGCCGACCTAAAAAGCGGACTGAAGAATTAAAAGAAAATGTCCAACAAATAATGGAAAATGCGCCAAGAACTTCTGTACGTGTTTTATCACAAATGGTGGGAGTATCAGTCGGTACCTGCCACACAGTGTTAAAAAAAGATTTGCGTTTGTTCTCCTATCGTTTAACTTGTCAGCAAGAACTTCATGAAGTTGATTTTTAAACAACTAAGTACGGTGAACTTCATAATATCACCTTTTTTTCTGATGAAGCCTGGTTTCATTTAAGTGGTAAACGTAAACTCACAGAATATGAGAATGTGGTCTTCTGAAAAACCAGATAACTTTTTTGTCGAGGGCCCTCTACACGCTCAAAAAATTGGAGTTTGGTGTGCTCTCAATCGAAGGAGGATTTATGGACCTATTTATTTTAATGGTACTCTTACTGCGCAAAGGTATAGAGAAAAAATTATCGCTCCTTTTGTTAACCAGCTGGAAGAAAACGAAATTACAAACTTTTACTTTCAACAAGATGGCGCAAGGGCACATACGGCAGGCGAGACGATGAATATGTTGAGGGAAGTTTTCCAAAATCGACTAATAAGTCTCAATGCTGAACATGAATTTCCACCGAGGTCATGTGATATTACGCCGTGTGATTTCTTTTTTGTGGCCTTACCTTAAAAACACTATTTTTGAACTGCCTATTCCTGATTTAAACCATCTGCAGGCTCGACTTATAGACAAGATTCATGAAATTAACAATACCCCGAGCATCTTAGAAAATGTCTTTAATTCTTTGAGGAACAGGTGTGAAAAGTGCTTGGAACAAGGAGGGGGACACTTTCAGCAGCTGCTTTAATTTATTGTTATAACAAGGAGGGGGACACTATCCGCAGCTCCTTTAATTGTTTGTTATTGTTATCACGATTATTCTTTAAAATAAAGTTATATAGTCATTAACGTTATTGAAACTGACAGCTGCTATACAGCTCGTTGAGAAATGAGGTTAAGTAGGTTGCTATAAGCTACTCCCTACGTCCAATGTGTCAGAGCCAACTTCGACCACGTTTTATTTGAACTCTCGTTACTAAGTACGTACGTAAGATCCCACTATCATAGTTTTAATTTTAGAAGCTGCAACAAATCAATTACCATTAACAACAATATCATAAATAAGATTGTTAAATGGAAGTCTAGGATCCTAGATCACTAAAATGTCGTGGTGTCACATGGAATGTCATATGTTTTGAGGAAAGACTAAATGTCAACACAAAAAGATATAGCGTTAACGTAAATGTTAAATAACAAAGGATCCTGAGGAATCCCGGATTGTGCACTAAATTGTGCTGACTTAAATCCTTGATATTGAACAAATCGTAGTCGTAGACTAAACCAGTAAACACGATTTTCCAGAAACATCTATGCGATCTAGTTTGTCAAGAAGAACTTCATGGCGAATCGAAAACTTTCGTCATGTGATTATAAATTGCTTCAACCTGATATGTACTGCGTTATTGAATGTAAAATAGTATTACTGGATCTGCCTAACTAGGAATAATATTATGTACTTACATGATTATATAGAGGAAAGGATTACAGTTTGAAAAGCTTTATCGAAATTTGAAATTGTAATTGGATGGTAATTGGTAATTAAATATGGCGCATCTGTCCCCAGATTTAAAAATTGGACATATACTTGATAGCTTCCAGGTGTTCGGAAAAATGTGTGTACTAAGAGTTAAATTAAAAAGAAAATTGACTAGCTTATGTAAAACAGATGCGCATTATTTGAGGATGAAGGATGGAACGTAATCTGGCCAGGTTGTCGTTTTAAATTTCAATTATTTAACTGCACAGTAATTTTGGCTTTCAGATATATGTTTGATATACAGGGTGAGTCTCGAGGAATCTTACGTACTTCTACTGTCACCGAACCAGAGATTTTATATTAAAATTAATGTAAAATAAGCACAAATCGCTCCGTGCAAGGGACCCTACAAAATAATCGCATATAGCGAAAAAACGGCGACATTGCTGTCATCAGTCATCAGTTAAATTGAGATAGTGACAGACACATACAAAATACAAATCGACTACTGACTCTCGGGCCCCGGTAAACCAAACCTAGGACAATTATTTCAGTGTCAAACCATCTTCGAAAGTTTTGTGATTTTTTTTACAACAAACAGCAATACGAAGTCCTACGCCTTCCCAGGAGTCTCACTAGTCCCGACATCGAAAAAATCGCGCAACAAGAATCAACTAGGAAATGGAGGCGTAGACACTACCGTAAACAGAGATCATCAAGGGGAATGACAATTAAAAAGTGACTACTCCATTGCTTTATTTAATATACGGGGTTATTTGTAGATTTAGATCAAAAATTATTTTCGATACAATATTTGTAGGATTTGTTTAAGTTCGCTAATATTTTAGTGAAACTATACACTGTTGACTGGCAATCGACTGACATTCTCAAACATTCAGAAATTCCAAAACCGGTCTTAAAAAATTTGATTAGAAGAATTCAAACACGAAAAATTCACCCTGTATTCGATATTTTCATATCTTGTGGATTTGTCGGAGGCGTATTGTAGACAATTTCTTTTATGTATTCCCATAAAATAGTAGCACAACCCCAAAATTTCGTGATGATAATTTTAATTATTATTAATTAATTAATGTTAAACCGTTTTGAAGATATGAAATATAA